AAAATAGAGCTACCCTATGACCCAGCAATTGCACTCCTGGGTATTTACCCCAAAGACACAGATGTAGTGAAAAGAAGGGCCATATGCACCCCAAGGTTCATAACAGCAATGTCTGCAATAGCCAAAGTGTGGAAAGAGCCGAGATGCCCTTCAACAGATGAATGGATAAAGAAGATGTGGTCCATATATACAACGGACTATTACTCAGCCATCAGAAAGAATGAATACCCAACTTTTACATCAACATGGATGGGACTGGAGGAGATTATGTAAGTGAAATAAGTCAAGCAGAGAAAGTGAGTTATCATATGGTTTCACTTATTTGTGGAACATAAGGAATAGCATGGAGGACATTAGGAGAAGAAAGGGAAAAATGAAAGGGGTAAAACGGAGGGAGAGATGAACCATGAGAGACTATGGACCCTGAGAAACAAACTGCAGGTTTTAGAGGGGAGGGGGGTGGGGGGATGTGTTAGCCTAGTGATGGGTATTAAGGAGGGCACATACTGTAAGGAGCACTGGGTGTTATAAGAAAACAATGAATTGTGGATCACCACATCAAAAACTAATAATGTATTGTACGGTGATTAACATAACATAATAAAATAAAATTAAAACAATACCGACCCACCATGTCACCTACACCAGATCTGTGAAGATTGGGAAGCTAGATAATGCCAAGCAGTATAGGAAATTGTGAAGCACAGGAACCTTGCATGCTGTGCATCGCATAGGTGCAATTGGGGAAAATAGTAGAATTTTGAAGATCAATTTTGTGTAACTTACAATTTGTAACAGCTATTTTTGCTTTGTGCTAGCTTTACTGTGCTGTAAGAGAAGTCCCCTCTGACTCAAGGTACGTCCAGGCCAGGTGATTGTCCTAAGAATCTTAGCATTATCTTTAGCTTCCTAGAGTGATAACTTTTCTGATACATAATGATGAGACAGATGACAGAATGATGAAATTATAATGTCATCATTGTTGCATTAGGAACTAAATTGTTTTGAAAATGGCTTAAGGTCATAACTTGTGGATTGGGAGGGAGAACACTCATGGCAAAAGGAGAAGGGGTCTCCAGATATTTCTGTGAATCAATCAATTTTATTGAAAAGCTTTTTAGCACCCCACATCAATACACTGTTTGTCTTATGGTATGTTAAGATATATGTCTCTGTTTCAGCTGAGATCTCAAAGCCAACTAGCAAATTTACCAAAAGCAAGATCCTAGATCACCAACTTATTCATAACCTGCAAAGAAGTGGATATTTAATGAACTCATTCAGTGGCTGAAGAGTTAATCTGTGCATGAACTTTCCTTGGTGAGATTGGTGTGCTATATAAGCTTCCCCAGCTCTAGAAGGAAATGAGGATGCTTCTCCTTAAGTCAGCAGAGAGAAAGAGATCCAGTGAGAGAGTTTGATCATATGCCGGGAATTTTAGAGTCTAAGGACTGATATACCAGCTGTGGCAAAGCAACAAGAAACTACTGAACTGCATCCCCTCTGATAGTCTGGAAAGGGTGCAAGATGTTTCTCAGTGGTCAGCTGTGGGCCAAGAGGAGCAGTTCTGACTCCTCATGAGACTCCCTGAAGCAGAGCTACAATGGTACTAGAGCTGCTAGAGGACGGCCAGATGCTCAGCTGAGGCAGGAACCTGGGAGCGAGTCTCAGGACCTGTGCCCGATGTCCCAGAGGTGTGTCTCCAAGGCCCTGGAAACAGCCCTGCAGGACATGGGAATCATCTGCATCGAGGGTCATCCTGGTGCCCACTCCAATCCATGCACTGGCCTCCAGGGATTGAGGAGGCACTCAGGTAGAGACTCCTCATGCAGAGTCTCCAGGGGCCATTATTATCTGCCACTTCCTTGTGCTCATAAAAGCAGTCCCACATCAGGTTCTAAGAGTCTGAATGGTAATCTCTGCTCCTCTGGCATAGTTTCGATCACAGATGTGTAAGTATTTTCTAATTGCGCAGCTAGAGCTCCACTTCTCTTGGAGATAGACTTTTCCCTGCCTTGCTCTGTGAGAGAGATGGGTGGAAAGGGGAGTATGATTGTTACAGGATTTCTATTCCTTTAGTACCTGAGGTTCTTGGGCACACCACTTGGAAGAATGAAGAGATAGAGCAGGTTAAGAGTGGTGGGCAGCAAAGCAAAATTTATTGAGCCATAGTACAAGGCTTCTGGAGAAGGAAGGGACCCCAGAGGGTTGCCATTTTGGCATTTAAATCTAGGGGTTGTTATAAGCTCTTTTGTGGAACTATTTTAAGCAACCAGAGTGTGGGCCTCTTGCAGATTGGCTGCTAAGGCATGACGATCAGGGTTTTGATCATGCACGTCTACCTATCAGGTTAATATTGAGTGCTCATGGTCTTTTTGGACTGACATCTGGAGACTTAGGTCTTAACTAGTGATAGTGACAAGTGTTTTATGGTTAATTGTTTTGTCTCAGGATCTTTTGCAAAAGTCACTTCTGCAGAAGCTGCTAGACAGAATGCTACTGTGGTCTTAGCTGTTATGGGTCTCTGCTTGCTGGGGACCCTGGCTCTGACTACCTAATTGTCCAACTAACTTCTAACATGATGACCCTGGGGAGGGAGTAATCAAAGTCTGTGCTTTGGGTGGAATAGGCTGAATATGTGTAAGCGTGGTGCTTCCTTTGTTTCTGGTAATTTGATATCACTCAGAATGTCCATCTGCTGGTTTGCTGATTCTTTATTAAATAAAAAGTAATGTCTTTATTCTGCAAAAAAGAGAAGAGATTAGAATACCCTGCATTGTGGAGAACATCAGAAACACATATTGTGTGACTTTATCATGGGAAGCTGTCTCTCACATTGACCTGGTACAACTGCATGCTAGTTTTTATTTATGGAGCTCTTGCTGTGCTCATTCAGTTTATGTGTTTTCTATGGGATTTCAGTTATGAGTAAGGGATTGGATAATGTACTTTAGAGATCCTTGCAATTTAAACATTCTGCATTTCTAAGGTGCCTTTTTTGAGAATTCTCTCTAATAAAGAGGCCTTGAGTCCCTTAGAACGAAGCAGGAAGTCAGGACTGAGAGCCTGGAAAGCACGCTTTCTCATGAATTTTCTTTCTTTCTTTTTTTTTTTTTTAAAGATTTATTCATTTACTTATTACACACACACACACACACACACACACAGAGGGAGAGAGCAAGCACAAGCAGGAGGAATGGCAGGCAGGGGAGAAGCAGGTTCCCTGCTGAGCAAGGATCCCAATGTGGGGCTCCATCCCAGGACTCTGGGATCATGACCTGAGCTGAAGGCACATGCTTAACCAACTGAGTCACCCAGGTGCCCCTGAGTTTTCTGAGAACAATTCTTTATGGGTCCTTCGTGGCCATCCTCGAGATCTTCCTATGCTGTGAATTCCTGGAAACTTTTTTTTTTCTTATATTATATGAGATTTCATGGTCTTGGATAAGAGAGGAAGAAGCCATTTTCATGTAACTCTGTGAATTATCTGTGCTTCACATGGTGACTCACAGCCCTTAGTCTCTTCTGTAGGAGGGGCAGCTGTCACCTGTGGATCATGACTTGAGTACCACCTGGGGGACATTGTTCCAGATTTGGAGATAGTATAATTGTTTTTCTATTCTGTTAACTGTGTGAGCTTAAAAGAGTCAGGTATCTTCTGTCACTTTTAGTTTTTGAAACCGTAACTCATGATTGTATGAGAGTAAGATGATATGGTAGATATGAAGCCTTTTTTCTAAGTGATACAGAATTCTGAATATGTGAGGAAGGGAAGGAGCTCTCTCTCTCTCTCTTTTTTTCCTTGGAAATTCTGCCAGAGTGCCTGACGTTCAAACAGTAGCAATCAATTACTGAAAGTTAAACCATTGTGTCCCCCAGATAACTATTAGGAAATAGATGAGTAAGACAGGACAAGTATCCTCAAGGACTTTGGCCAAATGGGTGATATAAATTGCACAAATACTTGTGTGTTGAGTGGTGGAGTGGAGGTCTGCAGTTTCCAAGAAGGAAGAAACTTAAGTTTCATTTGAAGGAAACAGTGTCATTGAAGCTGAGATTTGAAACAATGAAGATTGACAGATAGAAATGGGGAGAGGAAGAAAGACATCCAGGTTGAGTGGATAGAAATGATCCTGAAAAACAAAGGAAAAGATACTCTAATTTGAAGGCAGACAGTGGTCAGCAGGAGTGCAGTGTCACCCAGCCAGTGCATAGCAGCTCATGAGTAACAGGAACACAGGGAAGGTGTGGTGGACGTGAGCAGGATGATTGTGGGGCAGCCAAGACTGGCGGCCCAGTAGACAAGGCCACAGCATGAGGAGATCCCTGGGAGAAAGTGAAGGTGTGGGAGACCCTGAGGAAGGAGGTGTGGCTGCCAGCACAGGGCTCCATGAAACAAACTATTTCAACACTGATGTGTTATGAACTTGCAGTTCTAGGATGACCTCTCCTCTCAGGTCCAAATACCAAATGTTTATATGATGTCTTTTCTCGGATATCTCAAAGATGCCTCAAACATAACATGGCTAGCCCTGAACCCATCATCTCCTCCTGGAGCTAGGCCCCTTCCAGCTTTTCCTGTTTTCATGACTCATCGTGTTAACCATGTAGTTGCTAAAACCAGGGACCTAGGTCAGCACAGCATATCATCAAGGTTGCAAACTGAAATGTAGGACTTGGTGTCACCATGTCATAGCTGTGTAATTTTAGGCAAATTATTTAATCTCTCTGAAGGTTATTTTTAAAAATGTTTATTGCAATATGGGTGTGATATGCTATTTCATAGGTTTATGTGTTTTGGTGAGAGAATGGGCTACTTTAAGGCTTGTAGAATGGTTGGTCACTCCATGTATGTCAGTTATGATTATTATTCCTAATCCACCCTCTTCCCACCTCCTACTAAGACTGTAAAAACTGTGTCTCCTACTATCTATCCCTCCACTGCCTCCATTTCCTCTGACTCAATGCTTACCATGCTCATCTGAAATGCCATCACCCCATGTTTGGATGAACTTGGTGGCTTGTTCTGTCCATTGCTATGCCTTCCATTCCATTGTCCATACAGTGCCCAGAAGGGCCTTTCTAGAACATGGACAACTCAGGTCCCAGAAATATCATCCTGCTGCTCTTAGATTCCCAATGACTCCAACTCCACCAAAGCACCTCCTGTCTTTCCCCTTCATCCCAGCCTCCTGGGCTTCCTAGCCTCATGCTTCCTCCAGCCTCCAGAACCTGTACCTGCTCTTCTTAGTGTGAAGGTCCTTCACACCTAACTCACCTTCACCTACTTAACCTCTGTCCATGCTTGAGATTTCAATTCACATTTTCTGAGGGAAGCTTTTGATGACTTCTCCAAAACAGGGTGGCCCTATGTTGCTTTCTTTTAAAGCAATTATTACCGTTTTTATTATATTAAAAAAACCATTTGGTAAATTTATAACCCCCAATGTGCATTCTCCTGAATGTACAGTCAAATTCTGCTTTGTTCATCATTTTATTTTTAGCACAAACCAACATGCCCAGCAAAGAGAAGTTTCTCGAAATATGATTGAATAAAATGAGCAGGATGGGGGCGCCTGAGTGGCTCAGTCGTTAAGCGTCTGCCTTCAGCTCAGGTCACGATCCCAGGGTCCTGGAATCGAGCTCTGCCTTGGGCTCCCTGCTCCGCGGGAGGCCTGCTTCTCCCTCTCCCACTCCCCCTGCTTGTGTTCCCTCTCTTGCTGTGTCTCTCTCTGTCAAATAAAAAAATAAAATCTTAAAAAAAAATGAGCAGGATGAGTTAGCTTAGTGGATTGGTTTAATTTATCCTCAGAAGTAGGAGGAAGGGTTAAAAAGGTAAAAGTGTAAGCAGAGTTTAGGAATGACCAGGGTTTGGGGATTCTTTTGATGGAAATATAGTTGTCCTGGAGAATTCATTTGCTCCTGGTAATGTGAAATATACACTAAGGGAATCTGAACCTTTATCTGGCGTGTTCTCTCACCCTTCTGAATTTAAGGTTCAGACACACACATGGGCACAGGGCAGAGCAGTCAAAGAAGTGCTGTTTGAGTAAAGGCCCAGTACTTACCTTCATTTCTAAAAAGTTTTAGTTCTCTCTTTAGCTCCTATAATTTGCTTCAGATATCAAACTGCACAATTCATTCTTCTTGGATTAGAACTTGAGCATTTTGAACTAAGGGATCCTTTATATAACCATTTTAATTTTATCAAGCATTTTTATTAACCAACTTAAAGTCTAGAACAGTATTCTTTAATGACACAAACACGAACATTCAAATTAATTTACATCCGGCCAGGAAATAACAACTATCCTGGGAATCAATTATTCAAATAAACATATTCAAGTAAAAGACTGGATGTTTAGTAACAGATTGAACTATCAAGATGGTACAGACATAGCATATTGCCATTAATAGAAATACAAGTCATTAAAAGTTTGAAACTAAAATAATCCAATGGTATGAATATAAATCATATTAAAATATTTTTAGAGAGCATTATATTGTCATCAGTTAAGGGAAATTAAATTTTTAGACACCCAATTGAAAGTCTATCAGTTTGGGAGAGATAAAACTATATGTATTTTTTTCACCCAGTGGCTACATAACTCTCCCAGACATTTATTTCACTGAGACTCAGTGTTTTCATCTAGAAATTGGAATGGCAGCATTACTCAATTACTTATCTTGGGGA